GGTGTATACTACGTATTATGTCGTTTGCCAATGCTTTAGCGATTTATACTAGTCGACCTGGTGGTGTATACTACGCATTATGTCGTTTGGCAACTGAGTGGCGGAATCTGATGCGACGTCAATCGTTCTCTGGTAGGGAGGCGCCTCTGGCGTATAAGTCACCACACACGAAAAGTATAAATTTCAACACTAAAGAAAGCCGACTTCTTTGTTCGCTGAAGTTTTTGTCCCCCCCCCTCCTCTCCGTCTTAATTCATTTAACGTTTGGAATTCGCGAACGCGAACCTCGTCATGAGGATGTAATCGATAACTGAAACCGTATCATCCTCTTCACATTGAAGATGCAAAGATTCCATTCTTAACCTTATCATAGCGCATACGTATGACTACTATTTCAACTGATTGCACTGGAACATGTGAAACACGCGGTGGTACTGACAGCATTGCCTTGCAGAAATGTAAGGGAGAGGGAGAGAACGACCAATCACCACCGGAGGAAAACAAGCTGCAACACGTGCATACGTACCAATTGTGTGAGAGAGCTTTTATATCCGGACATAAAAAAACAAATCAGGTTCCTTTACGTACCTCTGACATGTCGGGCGAGGCGCATTTCCGCCTATGTCTGGAGGTCACCATTAGTTTTTCGTCACTTTCGTCGCAGTTTTACACTTCACACGCACTATAATGCGGCGCTGAATTTATAAACATCTCACAACCGAAATCAATAAATTCCGTTCACTTCTGTTGCAACGTCAGGAAACCCATATGCGAGGTTCGTCGTCTGATTTGCGGCAAATTTCTCCCACGCATTTCAGCAAACACCTTGAATCACGCGACTTTCGTGCAGCCATGCTGCTACGCACGGTTCTCAGATTGGCTTGACCCATCACAGCGCACTTGCCGCCTGCCATTGGGGGAGATACACAACCAGAACGCGTTCTTTTACACCGGAACACTTTTTTTCTCGACAACGGCTACACTCATACTGCAGGTTTACTCTCGAAACGCTGATGATCGGCGTATCTACAACTGTTATCGCGCCCCGAGTGCGAAGAATTTCGCTCGAAGTCCACGTAGCTGATACACAAAGCGCTCCATTCGCACGCATTCTTTGTTCCACGGACAGAAAACTGGGCCCGGAATGAGAGATATGATCAGCAAATATCATTGTGAACAATTTATGAATGCACCGGAAATATGGATAATAATTAAAATCATGCTTAAGATTTCTGATACAAGAATGTATTATTCTTTATATATATATTAAAAAATACGTCTCCTGTTGGTCACTAATTACAAGAAAACTGAAAAGTAAGTCCACACCTCACCTGGTAAAGCAATGAATTCAGATCAGCTGTTTTCCGAACATCTGAAACCAGGTCTTTTCATTGCACGACATTTCCCAACCGTTCAGCCTTTCATTCTTTCCAAATTTCTGTATTTTGGTGTGGTGTAATCTACACTCCATTAAAATATATTACACGCAAATGCATGGAATTCTAATAAATACCATTGACTCCTTTCATTACGTAATATTCATAATTCTCTTACAATTTATGACTCCCACGATCAAAATATTTAAAGACGAGCTAAGGCATGGCGACCTTGAGAAGCGGTGATAAAAAGGAATGTGGACTTTGAAAGTAATTCTACATTTTCTGGATTTAGAAGTGGTGAAGCCCAGGGAAACACCAGGGGGCCTGGAACAGTGAATCAAAGGAGCCTCTCATTTCAAACAAAAAATTACCTCCTCCCCAAATGGAGAAACAGAAATCATTTCTCCAAACATCAGACATAACTTCAAGCGTTAAATTGGGATTTGAGATACATTTTAAAATTTCTTTTGAATGAAAACATTTTCGGAGCGCCAATTAAGTCGGGGTCCGAGACA